GTTTCAAGATATTTATCAAATTCTTGAGGATGAAGCATCCCTCCATTAATAAAACCAATTTTTACCAGTAATTCTTCTTCTTTTTTCTATTTACTGTTCTTGACGTCGTAGCTATACTGATAGTTGCTATTGTATTTAAGCCTTTGTTACTTGTTCCTGCTGAATCTAAATAAAATACAAGATCTGACTTAAAAGTATTAATTTGTGTGTTATTTAATGAAGCAAGGAGATAACAAATAAAAACCATAATTTTTTTCATACGCTCTATAGTTTGACTGCTACGATCTGATGGGCGTGCTGCTAAATATAATTGTTCAAAAAAACAACTCAAGTTAGAATCTTAATTTTCAAGTAACCCTCGTAATTCATCAAAATTATAAATAGGCTTTTGCTTTTCTTTAACTTCTCTATTATAGAGAATTTTTGCCATAGATCTTATGGCTTCAACAAGTCCAAAATTATTAAATATATCTATTTCTTCTGTTTCTGTTTCTGTAATATCTATTTCAGTTGCTTCTAGAAATTCTTTATTAGTAACTTTGTTTCCTCTTTTAAGAAGGTTTGACACATGATTCATATAACAACGGTTACAAAGCATCATACGTTCACTTCACCCTTCTCTTACCAAATCTTTACTTTAGATTTCCTTCCATGTTTCATCTTTTAACTGATGAAACTTTAATGGGCCAAACTCCTTACATTCAAAGCATTTCTTAGCATTTTCCATTTTGAATATAACGTTAATGCAGTGAGATTCAGAAGGATTCAGCAGATATTGTGTTCTACGATATGAAGGCTTCAAGTTTACTTAGTAATATATCAGCACTTAGCTTATTACGCAAGCGAGTAATACAAGATGTCCAAAGTACTTTAAAAGTATATAAAAAATTTTTTTATTTATTGTGTAATGTTAAACGACGATCTACATATGGGGCACTGTCCCTGCTGTTTATATAGTAAAATTGTCTTTTTGATATTTTTTTATTAATACTCTAAGACAGGTTTTGACTACTGTTTTTGATATTTTTAACTTTTCGTTTATTTTTTACTTTGTCATGTAAACAAAATTTCACAATTTTGATTGGTCGATCGACACAAAAAAGTCACGTGGATACAATGCTTTAGACGATCCCCAAATTTAGACATCTACTGGTATCGGTATTTCCAGGATGTTCGATGATGATCCAAACTCAACCAATTAGAAACCCCATTAATGCCCCCCTGTAAATTAAAATTGAGCGTAGTGATCCTGGCCGATCAAAATTTTTCGACTGGCTAAGCCGATAAAATTTTATCGGCTTAGCCGGCTTAGTCGATTTTTTATTAAAATTTCGGAATCATTTGGAAGATTAAGTTCGTTCATTTTCTACATTGGAACTTTTAGGAATGTCATAATAAAATCGATTAGCCGATTTTTAAAAAAATCGACCGGCTAAGCCGATTTTTTCACTATCGGCCAGGATCACTATGATTGCCCGATCTTTTCTTTGAATAGTAGCTCGGTTCGGCTTATAAACGGCTCTGCTCTATTTGGTAAATACAGTATTAACCGTAAGCCGAGCCGAACCAGCCATTTGCATCAAGCGAACATACAGACATAATCACGTGAAAATTTATTATACGTAGTCCGTAGTGTCCTCCCGCTTCGCCTAGAGTACATGCTAAAGAGATGATTCTGATTGGCCAACTATCTCACAATAAACTGAGCTTTTCCGAAAAATAAGTCTTCCATGCTAGTTTTTTTTTAAATAAAATTTACTGATAGGTTTTAAAAGTACTTTAAACTATATAAATTCAACTATATAAAATTGACCAAAGTTAAAGAGATCACTACTGCTAAAAGGATGGTCGGAGGTCCTTTCCGACGATATTGCATATATTGACATTCACATGAAAATCCGATAATTCGCAAATCACAAACATATAAAAGTTTCCTATTATACATTTCCCTTAAATTACTTGCATTGCAAACCTTTCTCAAAAGTTACATTAAAAATTTCTACACAATAATGACCTCTGGAAATCCTCCATCGTCAGATAATAATTATCTCTTTGAATGGGAACAAATATGCTTAGAATTTTTTAGTAATAATGATAAAATTGCTGAAGCAGTGGTTGGACTTGTAGAATTTGCATCTCGTTCTAATGGTGAAATAACTGTCAATTTCGATTCTATTGATAAAAATTTGAAAAAGGAAAAAATTGAAGAATTACTGGTAAAAATTGGTTTTATTAATGGAGGGATGCTTCATCCTCAAGAATTTGATAAATATCTTGAAAC